GTCCTACTGCCCAAACTACAGACTAATCTGGGATGTGAAACAGGTCTAGGGATCGAATCCTACTCAGCACACAGGGTCTATGTACAGGTATAGGATAGGTCGAGGGATCGAATCTCACTTAGCACATGGGATCAATGTACAGGGTTGTGGCACAGGTCTAGGGATCGAATCTTTGTGACTGCAATGTCAGGTCAACTGGCTGAAACCGTTTCATTCATAGGTCTGTGTGAGGGAAATGCATCATTAGTCACACAGGGAAGGAGCTTAGAAGCATGAAAACAGGATAGATGTGCAAATGTGGTGGAATCTCGATGGTGTATGACGGTCCATCTGTGTCACCTTTGACATCTAGCACTTGCCACAACCCTCTGTAGGCAGGTAGCAGTTTCTGGGAAATCCCTTCTTCGGGAATAAACTCTTTAGACTTGACCTAGACAAGATCACCTACCGCAAACTGTGAAGGACGACGGTGTTTGTTCACTTGCTCCATCATTTGATGTTGGGCCTTCCGGATGTTCTCAGCCACACGTTGCTGATCCTTCTCATACTGGATGGCAAACTCACGTGTACCGGGTGGCAGTCTCTGGATCTGATCCGGGTTCAAACAGTCTATGGGACGTCGAGGACTCCAGCCTCTATGCAGCTCATTCGGGGTCCGCGAGGTAGCTAGGTGAACCAAGTTGTTATACACACTAGCTACCTTGGGAAGATGCTCATCCCAATCTACCTGGTCCGGTCTTATATGCATACGTAGTACGTGCTGTAGAATCTTGTTCATCTGCTCGGTCTGGCCATTTGTCTCAGGGTGGCGCCCATAGGACATAGCTAACTTAGATCCATAGGCCTTCATTAAGTGCTGCCACTGTTTCCCTGTGAACCAGGTGTCTCGGTCACTAACTATACTCAACGGGTGACCGTAATGCTTGAACCAATGGTTAAAGAACTCTTTGATGACCAGATCTGTCTTTGCTGCAGCAGGTAATGGTATAAAAACGGCAAACTTACTAAACCTGTCAACTATAACCATGACCTGACTTTTTCCACTATTACTCTTGACCTTAGTGCAATGACTTGCTGATTTTGACTGCCGAGACTGCCTGCGAGGCTGTACAGTACCAGCAGTAGGGTAGATTCATTATTTTGTTTGGCTGAGGGCTAACCGAGAGACCTACCTGTACGGAAAATTCGTGAGGGACATATCTGCACATATGGGAAATATAGGCCCAACACTAACCCGAATGTCCTACAGCTACCCCTACTGCGTATAGCGTACCCGGGCTACCCCTAGGACGGACAGGCCCGAAGGGCCTATACCGATAGATGGTCCTATAGCCTATAGCCGGGTAGGGAGAGGCCGAGAGGCCGTACCTGGAACGGTACCGGTCTAGGCCTAGGTTAGAGTAGGCTAGATCTATTAATAATTTAGGAAAATCGAGGGAGGACTTTTGGCTGTTCATTCTCACGAAGTAGCGTTTGGAGAAGCCAAGCAAGTTGGCTGTGGTAATTGTCTACAGGCGGCATCCTGAGACCCTTGCCGCGGACGGCGGCCATAGCTGGCCCTTCTGAAGGTTGCCAGAGTTGGGGCACCCTCAACACATCTACCCTAGTGGTATCTGCGTCTGGCCAGGCTATGCTGAGGCTCTTCACTGAGTGTTTGTGGGTGGCGGCAGCCATAGCTGCCTGTTTCTTCGTCAGAGTTGTCCATCGGCACTGAAGACTCCATCACAGGATCTGTTCTTCATCTGGGTGGTTGGCGCTGGCCTCTGGGAGGCTGTTTCGGTTGTGCGCTACTAACTGGGTGTAGGGTAGAGAGTGGAGTGTGGGGTTCTGAGCGTGGCGAGATACTGGAACAAACTCTGTAACGATATCTGGTTTAATTGACTCTTCATCAGTGTGAATTTCAATTGTTATCCTCACAGGTTTCTTCTTGTGATTGGTTGTTGGGAGTTTGTCAGAGAGTGAGAATCACGCAGTGTCTTCTCCCCATCTGTGCATGGCTGAACTTCCGCTACATACTCTGATCTGTGTACAGTTTGGACTTTGTCTCCTCTCCCCCTTCTCTTATGCATGTATGGGCGTGTATGAGACTGTCTGTGTGTGAGAGGCGGTAAAAATCGTCAGACAACCAAGTTCATAACAGTTGGTATCAAAGATGGATTGGAATTGGAGCACTGAGAGTTGAGTGCAATTGGGGCATCTTCTTCATCTGGCGATCTACTGGCGAGAAGTTTCATGGCGATTCATCCTCCCCAGTACTTAGTCAGCAGGGAAGAAGATTTCAAGCGGTGAATTCAGGAGTTCAGTGTTTGTACTGAGCAAGCGCACTGAGCATGTCAGGGCGCTTGTCGAAAAGTGGCGAGAACAGGGCTAATTCGCCATAGCCAGCCCTGAGGGCAGGATTGCGAATTGCCTCAGAGTGGCGAATTACCCCTGAGGACTTCAGGGATCTCTGAGCGGCTTCATCCCTGAGCAGCGCTGAGGGAGATTGACAGCCAGTGTCAATCTCAGGTGAAAATAACCCAATCTGGGGCTATTTATAGCATCAGCGGCTGAGGGGACCTGTGGCAAGATACTGTCCTGTTGGCTTCTGAGGGCCACAGGGTCAGATTCAGGGAATCTGGCAGAAAGGGTTGCAGCGCTTCAGGATCCTGAAGAGGATCAACAAGTTTGAAGAAGTTTTGTGCATGGAACAGAGAGGAGGAAGCTCTGGAAGGAACTGGCGAGATGAGGGTTTCAATTTGCCATAGCCAGATCTTCACCCAGCTCTGCAGGAAACTCTGAAAGTGAGTCCGTTCCATGTGCACCCCTGTAAAGCGATTCAGATAGGGTTAGATTAACTAGTATCCATGGTCTATCTGTCTGTCAGTGACTGGATTTGAAAATCGCAGACTGCATGACCGCCATAGCCATCCCTCTCCTACCTTCCTCTGCTCATTTCTTACCCTCTGTTGACTCTTTTCAATCCAAAATTGTTCAGTGACTGCCTGACTGTATTGCGATTAATCTGGGATGCTTAGATTGGGAATTTTGTACTGGAAAAGTAGAAATACTGTAAATTGCAGTTTTGCGCCGAGTCTAATTATAGTCTGTGCTACTTAGGGTCAGTCATAACTTCAATTCTGTCTGTCAGAATTCAATTCTGTCAGTTGTCAGTCAATCGCAATCCAAAAATAGTCAATACTGCAGAAGCGCTTGATTGGATTTCTAGTATTTCACTGGAATTAGTGAATACTATACTTCGCCATACCCTAGGGTATGGCTGCCAGAGTCAT